GCCCTGACACGGCTGTGCTTGCAGGTGTGGTTTCAGACCAGACGGGCCAAGTGGAGGCGGCAGGAGAAGCTGGAGGTGACCTCCATGAAGTTGCAGGACTCACCCATCCTCTCCTTCAACCGCTCACCGCAAGCAACACCCATGGGTCCCCTCAGCAGCAACTTGCCCCTGGAGACATGGCTCAGCCCGCCTGTGCCCAGCAGCACGGCGCTGCAGACCCTGCCCGGCTTCGTGGCCTCTCCGCAGAGCCTGCCCGGCAGCTACACACCACCGCCCTTCCTGAACTCTCCGGCAGTGACCCACGCGCTGCAGCCCCTGGGGGCCATGGGGCCACCGCCGCCTTACCAGTGCGGGGCCACCTTTGTGGACAAGTTCCCCTTGGACGAGGCAGACCCGCGCAACACCAGCATTGCAGCCTTGCGGATGAAAGCCAAGGAGCACATCCAGTCCATCGGCAAACCCTGGCAGACAATCTGAACTCCCTCTTCAGCACCTGGGAGAAACCTGCGGGGAAGGCAGGTCCTGGGATGACCACGGGACACGCTTGCCCTGCTCCGGCTCCCCTGGACGGCCAGGCGAGGGAGGGCTGTCCCTCGCACCAGCCTTTCCCCCATGCCTTGACTTGCTTTGTATTTTGCGGTCCTTTTAATTCCCTTTTCCACGCGCCCTACAGAGTTAGGGGCTGATCATAGCTTAGGAAAAAGAAAACCTCTTTTGCGCTCCCTCCTTGGCTGGACGCTGTAGTTGCAATAAAAGCTGCAGTAGGGCGAAGAGCTGTGTAAGGTGGCGGGGAACCGAGGCCGGCGGTACCTGGGGAGAGTTTTCTGCTTTTGTACCGTTAAATGGCACGACGTGCCTGAAGGCTGTGCGTCGCGTTTCTGTGCCCGAAGGGGCTGCTCGGGCCAGACCCTCTGCCCGCTGTGAGGAATGGAGAGGTGGGACAGGCCCGGCTGTGGACCCTCCTCCCTGCCCCTCCAGCAGCAGGACGCTGCCCGAACTGGCTGTGGGCACTGGGGGCTGCAGCCCTGCAGCGGGGAGCGTACCCAGCAAGGGGGTCCCCGCTTGGCAAGGAGGGCCCGAGGCCCTGGTGGTCTGTGGGCATCCCACAGCTGCCCTTGCAGGGCAGCCCCGGATTTGGATGGGCTTTGCCCACCCCTGCCCCAGCGGGACGGGGTTGGCGCAGTCCCCTGGCCCTCACTGCCTCCTCGAGGACGGGGCCGTGGGGGGACGGGTGGTGGCTGACGGGGCGCTGGGCGCCGGGCTGGGTGGCCGGAGCTGCCGGTGGGGGCCCACTGGGTGCGTCCTGCCTGGTGCAGCCCCCGGAGGCTGCCGTGGTGCTGGGCCGTGATCGGTCCACCGCCCACCCGGTGCCCATTGCCAAGCTGCCGAAACTAAAACTGCGGCATCTTTATTTTTCATTATCTCCGTTACTGCCTATAATGGGGCTGAGAAGCTGTAATGAAACACCCCTTCGCCTCCGCTGGGCACGGGGTGCTCCACACACTCTGGAGGTTGTGGCAATTAACGTTTCTCATTAGGGAAGGGGGAAGGATGCACAAGCGCCCTCATTGTGTCCTGGGGATGATTCAATGCAGACTGGGAGACCTCTCCTTTCACCATTTCCCACTCGTTGTGGCCAGACAAAGGCTGGCATCTAATTATATTTTCACAATCTGCGCGTATCTCTTAAGAGTCCTGTCAGAAACAAGTATGTCAGCTTTGTTCAGCTTCACTTCAGAGAGCTTTTTAACCTTAGACAGCAGTTTCTAAACATCCCTTCACAGCCTTGTCCACAGCAGCCCCCATCTATTGTCCGGAGAGCTTCTTTTACGGATAATAATAGGAATGCCTCTATTTTGAAACGCCTTTTCCTCTCTCCCCGGCCTCCCTGCAGATCCAACCTGCCTCTCAAGACAAGAGCACTGGCTGTGCCTGGCCCCCCCCGGTGTCCCTTCCCCGAGCTGTGCTGGCCCAGGGGGGTGCGGGGAGGCCCAGCCAGTGGTCCCCACTGAATTCCGGGGGGATGTAGCCCCGCTTGGGCCGGACCCTCCTGTGGGGCTCTGGACCTGTCAGTGCCACTCTGTGTGTGTGCGTGGTGGTGCCCAGCACACAGCTCTTGGCTTCCGTGGCAAAGGCAGTGCCGTTGCTGTCAGGACCAGGGAAATATTTTGCTAACTTCTAGTAAGGAAACCTGAGTAAAATTCTGAGGGGAGGAGACCAAAATCTATTGCTTCAGTTTTTGGGTCTTATTCCAGCGGTTCCTTTCACAGGTGAGCTTTGTTTGCATCACCGAGGATGCTGGGCTTGCAAGAAGGCACATCTCCTCTGTCTGCCACGAGGGAAGGACATCTCTTGGTGTGTGCGAGAAGTGCCTGCACACCCCGGGCTGTGCCAGTAAGGGACACACACTGTCCCTTAAGCGACCGTGCAGGCTCTGCACCCTCTTCCGCCTTGGGGGTAGGAACAACCCCGCTGGTCGTTACTTGGCAGCAGTCCGGCTGCGGTTCCGATGCTGAAAACCCGCCTGCCTGTGAACATGTTTAACCGTTGCCCAAAAGCTCTTACCTGTGCTTACTGCTCGTGATTAACAAGCAGCTCCTCAAGATCTCAGCGGTGCTCTGCCACATTTTGACGCTGCTACTCTCCCTCCCCGCTGCCTCCAGTTCTTCTGTGTCCTGTAAAGCCACTGGAAAGGGCGCCCCGACTTTGATCAGCGCTGTAACCAGCACTGACGGTTACGTGAGACAGTCACAGACTAGCAGTAGATCACAACACGACGACAGGGCAGCAGAAACAGCAGCTGAAGGCACCCGTTCACTTTGATTAAGCTCCTGATCCAACACCTGTGAGCAAGAAATGAAAGATTATGTCATTGTTTTATTGACATATTAAGCGGGTCTTTTGTTAGACGTCGTACATGTGAACCCTGTAATGGATAAACTGCGTGCAGTCATGTCCTTCAAGGAAAGCTATGAGTTTATTGTTAAAAATATTTTAACCAGCTAAACATAAGTGGGCACAGACAGGAAAATATTTTTCAAACAAATAAAGGGACAGAAGTGCATGCAAACTCGTATCTTTCTTGTACCCTGTCTAATTTTCTGTGTTCCTACACTTTCTTTCAAATTGTCCCATTCCATTTTAAAAGCTCATTTGTTCATTTTGTTGTAAATATCTTCTCCTTCTTAATTGGGTGCTGAGTCTAATAATCCTGCCTCGGCTTGTTAACTGTACAATAGCAGTCAGAGTTAATGACCCATTAGTGATTAATTCCTTAAACAGCATCTAATTGCTCACTGTAAAACCTTTTCTTAAAACTGGATTAAATCATCTAGATCCTTAACCACTTCTTTACTCTGACTTTGCTAAGGCTATTAGCCTGGCCTTTTCCGAGCGATCTATTTCTTCTTTTGCTTAAACTGCATTAGCAAGATACAGTATTTTTAGCATCTACACTTGACTTCTTTGCAACATCTGAAGTTCTAAGGAAGAATAATACCGATAGAAGACCACCAGCGGAAGTATTAAGAAATTTACTCCTTTGCAATGGGACAGCTGCAGAAGGTGAATGTTGTTGTGCTGACCATGGCGTGCCGCCTTTTTGGAGAGGTGGACTTGTAGGACAGGGTTTGTGAGCGGTCGCGGCTACTTGTGTGTGGATGTGTGCAGGCTTTGGCAGGTGAAGCTGTAAACGCTTCTTAGAGTTTTCCCAAGAGAAACTCAGTCTTTGCTCAGTGTCCTGAATATGGGGCGGTGGGCAATGGCTGCCCCGAGAGACCCCTGGGAGGGACCGTGACACGGAGATGAATCCTCGCTCCCTTCGTGGCGCAGAACGCTGCTCCTGGGGGTACCGCACCTCCCCACTCGAACCACCACCGAGGAGGGGCAAACCTGGCTGGGAACGGGAGGCGAGACAGTCTCTCTGTGTCTGCCACTGGCCAAACTGGACTCTCCCACCGTCGAACGGGCCCGGGGAGGGCAGCCAGTGTCAGAAGCGGAGGAGCTCTTTCCCCTCTCCTTCCCCGGTGTCCTTCACTGGGCGAACAGGCTGAACTGGGACCTGAGCTGTGTTCGGAAAGCCTCGTTCATTCTCAGGTAAATCCCACACCACCAGCCTGAGCTTCCTAGTTTTTAACTGGGGAGAGGACGGATAGGTATATGTTTCTTTGTATTACGCAAACCAAATAAATTGTCCACTTTGCATTTGCTTCAAAGTTCTGGATAAGGAAAATCAAATCACCGTGTCTTCATCTGCTTCATCTGCAGCAACGTCTTCTCTGGCAAATGAGGTTAATCCTGGGTGATTTCTCATTAAGATGTGAAATGCGGAGAGGTAGACTGTTTTTCATGAGAAGCCCTTCCTTTAGGCCTGGCTGCCTTTGTCCAGCCCAGAAATCCCAGGCTTAACATACAGACGTGTGAAGTTTTGCACAGGTCAGTAGCATGAGCTATGCGGGAGAGAAGGCAATTACTATAAAGGGCTTTGAAGATCTCTGAATTAATAATTATGAGGAAAACGCCATCATGAAACTTGGTCTCAATGGCACCATTTCTCAGCAGAAAGTGTATTCTAATCTCTCTTCCTTCTTCCTTCCCACCCCTGGTTAAAATCCTGTCAGTGTTCAAGAAAACTAGCAAAGACACCTGACCTATTTAAGCCCAGGAGAGTTTTGGCATGGAGTTCAGCTCGGTTGCTTTCCAGTGGAGCAAGACTGGCTCTCTGTCCAGGACTGCCCCCCAGTCCCCTCTGGATGGGGTCAGGAGAAGCTGTCACCCCTCTGGTGCCGCAGCCGGCCGCCGCGTTTGCTCCCCAGCCACGCCGGGTCACAGCCCTGTGAGACGAAAACACACAGAACACGGTCACAGTTTAAATTTCTGTTATGAGGTGTTGGGGTTGAGGGCAATACCGTTCCCTTCCTCTGCTGAGGACACGTCAATGTCTGCAGGCAAGAGGGAGAGCTGAAGGATCTTCTTTCCATCTGCCTCCACTACAACTGACGGGATAAGAAGTAAGAACATTTAGTTAGTTACTATTGAAAAATCCCAAGTATCTGTGCAAAGCTCCTGGCTACGTCTTTCTTCAGCTTAGTCTGTTGGGACATACTATGAAGTGCAGCTCCAACAGGCATTAATTCAAGGTGTTTCCTCTCAGCGACAGTGTTTTGGGGCTGGACACACAGGTTCCTTTGTCTACGCAGCCAGCATCTTCCTGTGTCACTGATGTTGTGGGTTATAAACCTTGGGACTTCAGCAGCTTCCTTCAGTAGTTTGTCCACCACAGAAAACCCATTTACAAAACCGTATCATAGGAGAAAACGGTGGAATAAAACAAACGAAAGAGAGCAGAAAGAAAAGCTGGTTAGACCAGGATGCTGGTCACCCTGATAACATTACTGGTCTTTCTGGTGGAATGAATATTGTGTCTCCTCTCTCTGAGCACCCTTGTGTTCTGCCAATGCATGATGTGAAAATTGGCTGACATTTGGTAGTCATCCCTCTGTCATGCGACATTTGTGCCCCACTACGAACCGTGAAATCAGCTCTGAAATGTTTGTTTCTGTGTAGAAACGCAGTTAAAGTCAGCTAGGGAAGACACTCGGGAGTGAGTTTAAACGGAGGCAGCAGAAATTTGGATGGAGGCAAGAAGAGATAAGAACCGAAGCTTTGGCCACGGATACAGAAGGAGTGTTGATGTAAACAGAGGGTGGTGTTCCAGCCCTGAGCGGTGCAGGGAGGTCAGATATCCCTCCTTTGACCGTCTCAGCAAAGAGGCAGGTGTGCAGAGTGAAAGACAGGCCTCTGGGTGAATCCCGAATGTCAGTGAGGGGATGTTAGTTTGAAGCAATGCTTTTAACCAAAGGTCTTCTCAGGCTCAGCAGCAGCTTGCTCTCGCTGAAACACCTCTGCTGGCTGCAGCGTGACCCAAAGCCGGGATGGCTTGTGCAGCAGGCAAACCTGCAGTTGTTCATGGCTTCACAGTTTACGATGAACTGCTCATAAACATGCTGCTCCTCCATCCCTTCCCCGTAACACCCCCAAACCCACCCTCGCAGTTTATTTATGCTGCCTGTGTGGGATAGGGGACTCCCATTTTACATGCAGAGAAACTGAGGCGCAGAGAAACACGACTCACCCAAGTTCAGGCAGGGATGGCATAACTGAGTTACCTCATGCCCCTAGTGCCATGTGAGACCCCTTCGGGTAGCGTGAGCCACCCACGCATGCCTGGCACGCAGGACACAGGCTCTGCAAGAGCCCCCCTACTCTCTCAGGTCTGTAGCTGGAGGCCAAGGGTGCCAACAGCAGTGGACGCCTGTGCTCAGCATCCACCTGGAGTCTGTACAGAGATCTCTCCAGTCTTCAGCTAGTGCTTTGGTTTCTGGGCCAAGCGCCTTTTATTTCTTGGGTGTACAACACACGCACATATTGGCTGCTGTGACTTTGGCCACACGAAGCCCAAGGCCAGCTTCCCAGGCACCTTTTTGTGCTGCCCACTCATTTTGCTCAGCTCCTTCCTCCGCTCTGCCTTCATCACTGCCAAGGTTGGGCAGGGGAAGGTTGATTCAAATGTGTGAGCAAAGCTTTCCAGGGATGGCCTAGTACCCCTGGGGGTCTGTGGCGTGGGCTGAGCTGCTGCACGGTTTGTGTAACGTGGGTAATCTGTACCTCGCTGCGAAACTGAGAGCCTGCCCTCCACTCTGCCCCAGAAAGAGTTGTCTCCTCCTCCTCCTCCTCCTCCTCCTCCTCCTCTTCCTCCTCCTCTCGGGATTCCTCCTAGCTATGGAGCAGCTTTCCTTCCGGCTGTCCTGGCAAAGCACTTAGGTACGGTTGTCCCAGTCTGGCCCTGCACTGAGCCAAAATGAAACCACTTGATGGCAGAACCCCGATTGCGCATGAGCTTTCTCACCCGGCCTTTTCCACAGATCCTTCCTCCAGGAGGGAAGAGGGCCTTGGGGAAGGGCGGGAAAGACTGGCACACCACACGAGCAGGGGGATTTTTCTGGAGTGCTAATCCCAAACTCCTGGCAAGACTCCGCGTCGTCTTTGGGCAAGGTGGCAAACAGGGACAAAAAGAGAAAGGCAAAACTGAAAAAGGTAAAAGCATTTTTAAGCTATAACCCCCCTGGGAGAGCAATTAACTGCACTGGGTATTCCCCTTGGCCGGCACAGGATGTCCGCTGAGATCAATCCGATTTACCTGGAACTCGGAATATCCGAGATGAAACACGCCGGTAATCACCAGTGGTCTAACTGACGTTACGCGCAATTTGCACTACAGCGCCTTCTCCTCCGCAGTTGTGCCGGCGGAGCGCTGCGGGCTGGGCCGAGACCGCTGCAGAGCGCACACCTGGACCTTAATTAGCGCCCACCTCAGTTTGCTGCTGCTCTGGGGACCCGTCAGCGCTGAGCGCTGCACGAGGACACGAGAGGCGGAATCACCAGTGGTCTAACTGACGTTACGCGCAATTTGCACTACAGCGCCTTCTCCTCCGCAGTTGTGCCGGCGGAGCGCTGCGGGCTGGGCCGAGACCGCTGCAGAGCGCACACCTGGACCTTAATTAGCGCCCACCTCAGTTTGCTGCTGCTCTGGGGACCCGTCAGCGCTGAGCGCTGCACGAGGACACGAGAGGCGGAATCAGAACTGCGTAACGGGGCGCAGCGCCGAGACGACGGCGCGGAGCGTTACGCAG